ACTGTTTTCATTTGGACAATTATCTCAAATTCTTAATCTTAGTCATCAGATGCTTTCAAAAATTACATTTCTGAAAGTTAAATTCATTTTTCTATTCATAATTTAAAGAGATTTCCACAAGTTCAGCAGATAAACAACATTTTATTACACTAGGAGTGTATTTTATTGCTTTACAAACACTAGTCTAATTTGTATTAACATGTTAAAATAATTAAATAGCCATTTTAAAACATTTTAATGTTTTGCATGCATCTATACCTGACTGCTAAACCCAAATGGCAATCCACACACTAATTAAAAAGTTAATTATTATCTATAATATTTAAAAGCTAGATGGTTGAAGAAAATGCCCATAAACGATTTGTTTTTTAAACACTTAAATTAATGAGCAAAAATATTCAAAGTCACAGATGCTCATCACATCACTTTATTTTAAATATTCAATATTCACATGCTTTCAAATCACACCTGCATTTCTAATCAGAGGAAACGGACAACTTACTCTGCTTAAGATTCATCAAGTCACGTACTTTCTCGCACAACAAACACAAGCCCATTGCAAAATTGCAAAGTGTTAAAACTCCAAATAACAGCAAATCATGTTTCCATCTTCTTTCAGAAAACAAGTCATTGCTTTTTTGAGGGGGTGGGTTGGCGTTAAGGAAGGAATTGTTCTTAACACGTAGCACACTGTAACTAATCAATCAAGGTGCTGAAACCAGTAAACAACAGCTGCCAGAGGGGAAGGTTTCCTATAAGAGAGACAAAGCCACATGCTAAAGCATGGCCGTTCAGTATAGCTGCAATATATACCAAAGTCTGCAAATGTTCATGTGACTCTGCCTGAAAACTTTTCCTGCTGCATCAACATGTGCTGCTAATCTACACAAAGGCTCCACAACAATAGACTAAAAAAATGCAGTGATCTTCAGTTCACATGAAACACACAAAAATCAACAAATGTTTATGACGTCAAAGTGCATTTTTGTCCATTTGATGTTCAATTTTTAAAAAGAGAGAAAAAAGAAGAAGAAATAAGAATTCCTAATTACAGCTGCTACAAACGCCATGCTTTGAAGGGTGTGCACTAAGCTCAAAATATAACCAAATGATCAGCTACTTGGTAAATATTTTAATTACAAAAATAGATCAATTAATAAAGGAACAGTTGCTGCCAACTGAAACAAAACAATCGTGTGACGGCAGCTACGTTTGGCCGCTTTTTAAACCTCCCCTCCTCTTCCAGCAAAAAAACAAATGGATGATTATTTCATTTAAAACAACAGCATATATAAGCAGTACTATCATCTACTGATGGCATAGGAAGAAGAAACTTTTCCACACAAATTCCCAAGATTTAAGTTGTGTATGGGGGGGTGAAAAGGGTGTGTAAGACAAGAAAGCGAGAAAAAAAAAAGATAGAGCAGATTATTTTCTGGGATTATTCGTCTTTTTAAAAGAACATAAAAGAGATATTTTCTGGAATATTTGCTAATTTGCCAGCAAACTATGGCTATCCCCATTTAACTGCTGCAAGAAATATTCCTTGGCATGTGCTTTAGGGGGCACAAACCGCCATTTTCTAATGAGATGAAGGGTGTCATCTCAAAGCAGAATCTGTGGAATAAACATGCCCCTTTTTAAGGGTTTTTGGAGCCTACATGAAAGCACTTGATGACAATAGAAAACACATGTATGGAGCAGAAAAAGGAAAAAAAGAAAAACGCAGTTGCATTAACATCGTTAAGGACATTGTTTGCTTTTAGTTAATGATACTGTAAGGCTCTAGATTATTCTCAACATGGCGTTCACCATAGTCTTCCCTGACTCTTGTCCGAAGCGGTCAGCAACTGGATTAAATGGTTAAAACTCACGTGGAACGACAATGTTGTCAAAGATGCGAATCGCCTCGCAACAAATAAATAAATAAAAACATAATAAAGCAATCTCACCGGAAAACAGAATCCTTGATTCTCTGTAGCCTAAATAGGATTGTGAAAGAGCCTTGCGCTTGGCGACGTAGACTATATCTTGGAGCGAGGCCAGCTCAAAGTTGGGCTATAAGCTCTCTCTGTTTTTTTTAACCTAAACAATCTCCCTCCCTTCTTTCCCTCCTTGACTTTCCCTCTAGAAATGTCCTACACTGTGATTAAACAGATCGATTTTGTCAGTTCTTTTCCTACACCGACATTAACCGCAGAAAATCTTCCCACATAGGATGCAGTCTAGTCTGAAACTTTATGTCAGTTTTGCCCCCTATGGAATTTGTCCATAGCGAGGAGCCCTGAAGCTGGGGGCGGGGAGACTTTCTGTACATTCCTCAGCGATACATTCACTACTCCTCTTGCAGAGCCTGCAGCCACACGCACACACGCGCGCGCGCGCGGGCTGCAGCCATGCATCGGCTCATTTAAACCGACAGAGACTGGAGAGCAACTTAACATGACTGCTGTCTCTATACGTTCAGCCTGTGAGACTACCAGCTCTGAGACACTGCCCAGCTGGCAGAGCTGGCATTCACACCGACCCCCATCCGTGTGCGTTTCGTTATTTCATGAGGAGTGGAAATGGTTAACGACTAATAAACGGGGTTTCAAAAAATTGTATGAGTTTAACTAGGCCGACGGAAAGCTCCCTGGTTTTAAATAACCCTCATATAGATCCATACAGGAGAAAGAGTACAGAGATCTAAGCACTCACTCATAAGTTAAAAAGAAACTTTTCGGGGAGCAGGTCTTGTAACAAATTATGAAACGATTAAAAGTCGATAGAAAGTTGCCCTAAAGTTGAATTTTAAACCCTATTTCACGCCTTTATCGTTTAACCTATTTAAGGGTTGCCCTATAAATCCAAATACAACATAAAGTTCTCGGAAAGTTTTAAAGAGGGTATTTTTTTTTAATGCAAAGCGCCTCGGATTTAATCACTGGCGTGTTTCGTTACATCTTCATGCTTCAACCCATGACAAAAGCCAAACTGGGCAAACATGGGGAGAAATGCGTGATTGGCGCGCTGATTCATATAGAATAGTCGAGCCGGGGAACCAATGAATGAGCGCGTTGAGGCCGAGCCAGCAGGAGTAGTGCGGAGCAGGTTTGCGGCTCTCCGATTGGACAGCCTTCTCGACCAATCAGACAGCTCGGTGTGTTTGTTCAGCAGCAGCAGAGAAGTAGACCCACCGAGTCAGCCATGGCCCCGGTCTGTGAGCCAGTTGCTGAAGGGCCAACACTCCCTTTGTAACCTGCTTTACATGGACACGCACACCTTGGCCTGTTCATTAGCAGACGCTGCAGAGACGCGGTGCCATCACCTCAGCTCCAGAGAAAAGCTTTTGTTCCCTTCTCTTTTTTTGTAATGCCACTTGCAGGGCTGCAGAGACGACTACACCCACCTGCACTCACGTTTCTAACTCTTTCTTAAAATACTTTTCAAAATAAGACGACCACAAGTCAAACACGGGCTTACAATGAGTTAAAATAAAAGAATAATGATAATTAAAAAACAAACAAAAACACCATGCCTTTAAAGGAGAATGAGATGAAAGTTACTGCTATTGTGTAAGTTTTTTTTGTAGTTGACATTGTTGCTCTCTGGCTACTTCTAACTAACCCGTCACGCCGATTCATCTAACACAATTTTATGAATGAAAGCGTGCCCTCCTGTATCCCCACACACGATCCTGAAAAGAAAATAGATCCATGCAGCACATATCTAAAGTATACTGTGTCGCGTCTCCTGAACACGTGATGAAGTTTAAGCCTCGCTTTAAAGGTGCTGGGTTTAAAGCTGAACTTTAATATTATAATGCAGAGAGAGATGCATTTGGGTGCCAGCTTGTTTGGTGCATAAATCTGAAACTAATGCTATAAAATGAATGCTATCTTCATAAAAGTTTTCTACTTAGCTCTTCTCTCAAACCGCTTTAAAGGGGCACGGATTCAATTTTATGGTCATTTTGGCAGACACTGCGGCTGAATTATGCTCTCCGTATATTGCAGTAACGTTCAGCAACACTGCAAACTATACCCTGCACAAAGGCAGAATTTATTGTGGTACTTGACTGTACATGTGCTTATAAATTTACGCTTTGGGGGATCATTAGTGTTTTGAAACTTTGTGCCCTGACAATATATCATCCTATTGACATCGCCAGGCATGGATTAATCTGCCAATTAGTCCTGTGCATGCAGAAATGACCCGTGGAGCGACCCGTTCGTAAACTGTCGACCTCTGCCTATGGTTTACAAAATCTTACAGACAGTTGTGTAATGTTTTAAGACACGTATTCCACACGTGATTGAACTGGGCTTTGCTTTACATAGTACGCTAGGGGCACATTGGTGTGGGAGACCCCTCCCTCTTTCAGTAAATTCAAATCCATGCTGGGGTATAGCAGAGAGGATTCGCCATGTGTGATTCGCTCCACATGGCCAACGCTTCGTAGTTGTGCCAAACAGCCCGAAAGACGACAAAACAAATGGCGTGGCTGCACTCATTTCGCCCAAAGATACCCCCTCGACGTGACCAAGAGCAAATGGGGCCTGCTGTTGGACTTTGAGTTGTGGATCAGAGAGGGCATGGCTCCACTCCACTCAGAAGATGGATGCCGTCATGGAGAGTAGTAGCCTACGTGTCATTCCCACAATGCGTGAGGGCCCAAGGAGTTTCACAGGACCTTTCCCCACTCAAAATACGTACAACTGAATGCGCTCTATATGCAATTTGACAATATGGTGTCAAAAAAAAATCATTTATGAGTGGCCCCACCCCCTTTTCCATCCGCTGTGTCGCCAATATAGCGCACTTAGCACAGCCGTGCGCACAAGCCCTCGCAATATCAGCGTCTCCCTGCTATGGGCGTGCGTGCGCGCACCGCCGTTTTTACTATTCCTCATTTGACCAATGAGAGTCGAGGCTGTGCAGAGAAAGGCACACGAATGTGATTCTAGTAAAGATACACTAGTTTCTCACGGAATCCCTTTACGCACAAAGCTCGCCAGGTTTTTTCCCAACACCAATCCACTCTTCCCCTCCTTTTTTTCTTCACTCCCCTTTGCTGTCCCCACCCCAGACTCCCGTGCAATTTTCCCCAATCCCAAACACTTAATTGAGCAATTGGGATTCCTCACGTGTGGGCTGATTTGTAGTTTGAACACGTGGCTCATTCAAAAAAGCCGGAATAGCTGAGGATTTTTTTCTCTCCCCCTTCTTCTTCTTCTTATTCTAGGCTCTAGACTTAGAGGCGGGCGCCAGCCTTACCGTGTGTGACATTCTCTGTCTCTTTGCCAAGGGGTTTGGAGGAAGACACAAAGTAGTTTCTCCTCCTTTTCACCCAGCCCGCCATCGTTCGGAGACACGAGATTAATAATTGAGCATTTATTTATTGCGCGATAGAGACAGAGGGGCGAGGGAGCGCAAACGCACCGTGAGGCTGCCAGTTTAAATCTATCTGTGGCTTGAACGACCGGGAAGCACGCTACAGCCACTCCGTAGTAGTAAAGGCGATTTAGGCTACTCCAAACACTGCACATCCGCGAGAGCAAATAACTATCTCTCCCTCAGCGTAAAGATTGTCCCTTTCGGCGCAGAACATGAATAAGCTATACATTGGCAACGTAAGCGCAGAGGCGAGCGAGGAGGACTTCGAAACTATCTTTGAGCAGTGGAAGATTCCGCACAGTGGTCCATTTCTTGTCAAAACTGGCTATGCGTTTGTGGATTGCCCGGACGAGAAGGCAGCAATGAAGGCCATCGATGTTCTTTCAGGTGAGACAATCTGGGGCAAAAAGGTGCTATTAGGAAATTATCCCAAACTGCTGCAATTGTGTGAAGATTGCTTTACTTCTGGTGGTGGTGGTGGTGTTGGTGGTGGGGGTACCCTATGAGAAACGCATGTAGTCCTGTAGGGTGGGGGTGTATCCAAGCGTTTCTTTCTCTCACACAACCTTTACTTGGCCTTTTGACACCGTGGGGCTCACACAAATGGCTTCCCCCAGGTTTGAGTGAAATTCTGCCCTTGTAATTTGACTGAGTGTGGCTTGGTAAAATGCTAGAGTAAACTCCTCAGTGTGAGCAATGCACGTTATGTCCGTTCAGGGCAGCGAGCGGGGGTTGTGGAAGCCGTGAAGTGAACCCTTATTGTGAGCTCTATCACACAGCCCCAGCTTGGCACGATTGAAGAGTAATGTGTCGTCGCTTTCACCAGTTTCTACTGGAACTTGCACTCTTCTCCAGGTTTCAAAATACAGGCCTTCTCCAACAGCCTCCACTCGCTATACTGTGAAGCCATTTCGTCCATGCTGACACACCAGGTGGTTTAATTGTGTTGGCCTACATTTGGCCAACAAACTCAGGCAGGCAATCCACATTTAGCTTTTTTTTTTTTTGTACATTAATCACTCCAACCCTTCACGGCTTGTTGTCTAATTTCAAGTTAAGCGTGCACCTACAGAACACGTAACAGCTGAGCTAAACTCGTTCACTATTTTTACGAATAGTGCTAATGTCAGGCTCATTTGTCCTCGTGCTACCAGTGGCTCGCACACTTTGAACAATTTGTGCTCCTATGCGAGAAATATCCAGCTCGCAGTCATGCTTACGTATGCTTCTCTGGATTTTTAGTAGTAAACATTAACCCCTGTTTTCTTTTTTGGGGGGGTGGTTGTTTACTCAGCAGTATGGAGGCCTACACGAGATGTCATGTGGTTAATGAAATTAACGTAGCTGTATTTTGCTAATTTAAATTTCTCTTTTCTTTTTAAGGTAAAGTTGAACTTCACGGAAAAGTTCTCGAAGTGGAGCACTCGGTCCCTAAACGTCAAAGGTACGTGGGTTTTTATTAAATAGTGCTTGGTTAAACTCGTAGAAGCCCCACATATATTTTTAAATTGTAGTCACCCTCTCTTCCTCGTCACTCTTTTTTTTTTTATTTTACTTTGACCTCGTGTGTGTCTGTGCGAGTGTGTTTTAATAATGCTGCATGTGTGTTTGTTGCCAAACCTTTACATATTTATTTTAGTTAAAATACGTACGCCCATCACCCCCCACCCCCCTCTTTCTTTTTTCCCTGAATGCTTTTTGGGGTCAAATAAAAGGGGCGTATGGCGCTCTGTTCCTTCCTCTCGCCATGACTGAGGGGGTGCTCCCAAGACCGTCGTGCATTTGAGTTAAACCACCTCATGGTTGTCTTCTCCTCGCTTGCTCCATTCCCTCGTGTGTATGTGTTTAGTGTATATGTGCAGTTCTTGGCGATATTAAAGCACAAAGCTCAGGGCGAGTACCAAAGTGTGCAGGCTGAAATGTGTGCTGAGTGAGTGCAGGCTGGATTTGAGGCGTACAGGCCTTGTGAAGTCGTCCATTTGAGAATGATCTGCCCGTCATTCTCCCTTGTTTGCCCTACGCTTCCGCCCTCCTCAGCACATTGTGCTGCTGTTGCATGAGATGGACTCCAAACGCGAGTGGAATGGGAGGTTTGGGACCCAAGTCACGAAAACCCTATGGTTTCCGAGTTAGACGCCCGTAACCACACTGGGCGGTTCGGTGTATGATTTCCAAACCTTCACAGACAAAGGTGCACAATATATTTTTTTGTGTGGTTCTCGGGATATGTGCAGTGGACTTAAAAATAAGGGCCATTTTTGACATGGTGTGTATTTTTATATTATTTGGTGGCGATGCTGTTTGGTGAAAAATTAGCATTTTCCTGAATTAAATTGCTTTTGGTTGATGATAGTTGCGGCAATTTCTGACTAGTATTGCAGGTTTGCATTGCTTGCTCTCAACGTTTAACTGTGATCTGCTCTTATGTAAAGAAATGGGTCACACTTGAAATCACAAAGTCCTGCTGAAACACGTTGGCATAAAAAAAACTGCTCCCCGTGACTTGTATTTATTTAAAAAAGCGTTTTGGATATAAAATGGAGCAAACGCAGAATTCGCGAGACCTTTACATGAAATGTATTTTCCACGTGGACATCATAGAAGCATTTCCCGGTGGGCTGTTGGTCTAAATTGTAGCTTGGTTAAATAAACCAGGTGTACTTAAATGAGAATTTGCGTCAGATCTTCAGACGTCCCCTCTAAACGCTGTGGTGATTGTGTTTTTGTGCACACCGCAGAGTCGAGTTTGCGCCACATTTCAGAAAGGTAAAAAACGTGCCCTTCCTTTACAACATGGAACACAGTCAATGGGAACAGTATTCTGAGTATACGCTACACACACGCGCATACACACACACACACACGGACACTTGGGCCCCTCTTTGCACTCCAGCTTGAAAATATGAACTGGGGCTTGGCCAATCACCTTTGAACCTATTAAGGGGGAAGTGCTAGAGCAGACGAGGATCAAGGGTGGGGTGGCTATAGTTTGGAGTTCATACAGATTCCACTGAATACGATGACATGGTTTGTGGGGATGTGGTATTTTTATAGTTTCAAGCGAACCAGGTTAGAGCCCAATTACATTACGCACAAAATTATTATATATTTTTTTATTCTCATGCCTCTATCACGCGTGACCAAAGGGGAACCAAAATTATGATCTATGCATTTGGTGTAACATTGGGTTTGTCTTAAGGAGTCTTAAAAATGGGCTGTAGGCATTAACAGTATAACGCAACGTAATTATTTAATTGGAAACTCATTTTCTGCACATACACGGCGCTTTTGGTTATTTAACTTTGAGTTAATTTATGAACGTTTGCTTTTTACGTTGCGTGACCTTTTCCTAAAAAAAAAAAATGTGTTAAAGTCTTTTGAAGCAAAAAAAATCCGCCATTTTAAAGATAACATTCACTTATTCTCGCCAATATCTCCTTTATACGATTGTTCTGTGGAAAGCCTGTAATTTTTCTTCAGCTTAAAAATTCAGTTGTGTAAAGCTCTGACCTAGTTTCATATTTTCATGTATTTGTGTATGTATACATAAAAAAAACAAACAAAAAAACCTAATAAATAAATGGTTTTAAAAATCTCCTATAATGCAATTGCACCACAGGTAAACCCAAATTGAGGTGGTGTATAGGGTTGAATTCTACTCTCTACTTGGATATTTTTATTTTTTTATTTTTTTTCAACAACGTAAAAAAATGCAACTTGCCCATTCCCACGTGCACATATGTCACATGTACTGGAAGAAAGAAAATGGCATGGTTGTAAGGGGGTGGTGGCCCCACGCATGTATGCGTGGGTATGTGTATTTGAGAGGAAGACCGACATCAAACACGCATGTTTAAATGTACACAACTTCCTTTAAACTCAGTTCTTTAGTAACATTTTAGTCCTGGTGTTTTTGTTTCTAAAGCTGGGTTTAAATTGTAAATTAAATTGAGACAGTACTCAAACTTCTCATGGTTGCTTATAGAAATCACTCCTAGTGTAAGAATTCTCGGTCACAGGGTCAGCGTGGGGCCCCACCTGCACCCCCCCTCCAAAAAAAAAAAGAAAAAGATGAGTTGGGGTGCCAGAGAATTATGAATGTGGCCCCTTGTTTTACTTGGACTGCAGGCAAATGCTAACTCTCCCTCAGTCTAGACTCAAATCAGACTGGCATTGCACTTATAGCTTGTTCTTAAACCTGTTCTGTAAGATCTGGAGGTAAAGACATCGGTGCGTAATGGCTTTTCGCATATGGCAAGCTCTAACTGTTCAACTCTGGAACTGCCAAGAATTTCAATATATCCAAATGCATTAATGTAGTTTATTGGGTTCATGGTTTGCATGCACATAAGACCTGTGAGGGCAGTGGAAACCAGACTATGTGGAGTTCAGTCATTCAGAACCTCTGCCTTCTGAATAAGCAGTGGCTGTGGATGGGCGTTGAGCACAGACCTCGTGTGTTTCTCTCTGTCAACAATGGTGTTGACGTACAGTGCTTCATTATGGGGGGGGATGAGTGAGGAAAAGAAATGGAGATGACTACAGGTATCATGTAGCATTATTCTGCTCAACTTATGAACGCTGTTGTAGTATACATTTGCATGCTTGTGTATACGTGTCTATTGAAACCACCTGTATGCACGGTCTCCCATCAGGAGGCCACAGGTCTCAGCTGGGCTCCAAGAATGGGGACGAATGTGTAGAATGTTGGTCCGTTTGAAAGTAAATAAGGTGCTCGGCCTCCTCCTGGTCATCACATGACGAGCCAACCCTAGTCACTCTTGGCCCTCCCTCCTTTCCTCCCCCTCCCACTTTTAACCCTGCTCTACATGTTCCTGTCAGTGGACTTGTCCGTGTCCATGGCAACGGGGCCCCACCCCCACGGGGCAGAGAGGGCCCTTGTTACCCTTGCTTGAAACTGGGCTATCCCCCCCCCAATACCACACCCCACTCACACAGCCTCACACACACCCACCCCTCCCCAAATCAAAGACTGGGACTGGGGAATGTATACCACCCACACCCCCCCACCCCACCACATACCCTGGCTGACTTCTTGTGTGTGGGTGGGTGGGTATAGGTTAATCCAACTGGAAGTGCTTTGTGCATTTGCACATTTCGCATGGCGTTCCCACCGCAATGCAGAGCATACCAAATGTGTGGGGAGATGCTGCAAGATCAGCCAGGAATGGCACAGTGGGCCGGAAAGGGCTGAAATTCCTGGTGGGAGTTATTTGGGAAGTTTTCTTTACAATTTGCCCATTTAGAGTTAAGTAGTTTCTTTAATGCGTGGTACTAAATATATTGTACCCCTATAAGTGTGACTGTAGTCCTAGTGGCTAAGTTGAGTAATTTCAGCTTTATGGCCCTTATTGCAGCGGTCTCCAACCTTTTTTGCGCCACGGACCGGTTTATGCCCGACAATATTTTCACGGACCGGCCTTTAAGGTGTCGCGGATAAATACAACAAAATAAAACTGGTACCGAAAAAAAGATTTATTCATAACACACGTGAAAAGACCCAGGAAAACCGAGTTAACGATAAAAACGATAACAAAATAACGCTGAAAACCGATAAAAACCCTGAAAACCATACATTTCACACCTGAGCCTCAACTCTCGCGGCCCGGTACCAAACGACTCACGGTACCGGTCCGAGGCCCGGGGGTTGGGGACCGCTGCCTTATTGTACACATGCAGTACAATTTTTAGTGTGCGCACATTCATGTATGGAAGTTTCAAATTTGTGTAGTCAATCTTGATCTTAAAAATTAAGTTCACTGTGTAAAAGGGGAGTTCATCAATGCTGCATGTTGAAAGGTGCCATCTTGTGCAAACTACCACACTGTTAATGGTCTTTTTAGAAGAAAAGAAAAAAAAATCTGCCCTGTACATGTAGATCCAGAGGCGCTCAGGGACACAAAGGGGGTGAAAATATGTAGTGAAATTCTAGACTTTACACAAGGGGCAAAAATGTGCACGTAACGCTAAACTGACTGCACGGAAGTGTGTGTGTGTGTGTGTGTGTATAATGCGCATGTAAAGGCGATGTGGAACTGGTCTGGGGTCAAGGTTTCATTCCACGTCTCGTGTGTGTGTGTGCGCGCGCGCCTCAGCTCCAAGCCATATGTACGCCTTTTCTTTAGGTGTGTGTCAACAGGCAGTGGACTTTGGAGTGGCTTGTACTTTTCTCACATTTTTACACAACATGCAGACAGACCCTTATGAAACTTAGAGTAACTGATTCAGAAGGCCTACTGTCTGCATGACCTCCACACATAACCACTACACTTATGCAGCTGTAAACATAATGAAAGTGGGAGCCATAAGCAATAATTCTGTCTCAATTATTCCTTCCTATGCAACAATGCTAAACTCAACTGTTTGTCTTCATTTGCGTCTTCTGCATGCACACTCTGAACAAGCGCCTTTTTTTTTTTTTTTTATTTTTTTACTCCTCCTATGTAGTGTGATGTAAGGAGAGATGGGGGGGGGGGGGGACAACCAAAAAAAAAAACAAATGGGTCTGAGACTTGAAGTTGTTAAAATCTCATGATTCTGCACTATAGGATGCATGCTAGAGTCAGGTTGCGTAGACGAAACATTTTAATACATTATTCTCAGTGTTTTCTTTTCTCCGCCCCCCCCCCCCCCCCCCCCCCAGCTTCTTCGTGATGCATCTTACTACTACCACCATCTGTTGGATTTTACTTGTTTTTTCCCCCCCTCTTGTCCCCTTCTTCCCCTTGTCACTCTTTGCTCTCTGTAACACAGCTGGTAATTTGGGAGAAGGGCGTGGTGTATGTGATTGTGTGCGTGTGTTACATTAATTTGAATTTTGGGAAACTCGAAACTAAACTACCCCACTTTTTTTTTTTTTTTTTTTTTCCCCTCTCTATTTCATGCAGGCTGTTTCAGTACACCTGAGTTTAGAGTGGAATTAAAGACCTTCTGTCAGTGTCCATCTAACTGAGAAATAAGTCCTTTGTTTGTTTGTTGTTTGGTTTTTTGTTTTTTAAAACAAACCCCAAAACAAAACACAAACCTCTTCTGTATTATCCTTGGTATTGTCACTTATTAACTAGCTGTTGCTTTCTCTTCCATCTTTTGTCCCATCTACCTTCACTTTCTTTATCCATTCACCCCTCACCCTCTTTCCCTCTTGTTCTCTCTCCAGGAGCTGTAAGCTGCAGATCAGGAACATCCCGCCTCACATGCAGTGGGAGGTGAGTGCTAACAGGCTGCTAACCGCTTCCAGGGCGGGGCACCATGGGGCAGCCCAACTGGGCTCTCATTTAGTGGCCTCTGGAGTTACCTTGCCTCCTTTTGGGTTTCAATTGAGCATGCACTTGATGATTAGTTTGACTTTGGCTGCTGTAGCTTAGTGCAACATACTGACCGGTATCGGTGGGTAAGGAGGGTGCGGGACTCTTACTAATGTCACTAGGCAGTTGACAGTCGGGATTAGAGATTTTAATTTGTTTTTATTAAATTTTCACTACCTTTGAGTGTTGTGGTGTTTTGGCTTTTTAGGGGAAAAAAAGATTTAATGAGGGTAGACTCTCCAGATGATGCTGACGGGCTCAGGCAGGAGTATGTTTGTAGCACTGGATCTACATGCGTTTGCTGCTCGCAGAGACTTGTAAAACAAAAAAGCTGCATGCTGATGTTTTTAAATGGGGAAACGTGAGTTGATTGTTTTGCCATGGTGTCCTTCACCACTGATCACATGGGCTTGTTTGTGTGTGTGATGAGGCTTTCACTTTCAATGTGTGTTCTTGCACAAAAAAGTGGAAATGAATTAAAAATAAATCAGTGTTGTCTGAAGGGTTGTGAAAGATTCATGCAACCCAGGGGTTGGCCTGGCTTTAAGTCCTCCTTTAGTGTATGGCAGTGCATTATTTTTTTCCTTTAAATTGTCATTTTACTTGTTTGATACTTGTGAATTTTTCTTTGTCTAAAACATACAATGCATGTGGGTATTGGTAGTTTTATTATTTGCTACAGGTATCAGTACCTGACATTGAGAAAGGTGGCTAAATAAAATCAGCCCTTGCTCAATTGTATGCAGACCACTGCAACAGATACATCTGTAATGCTTTTGTCAGGTTTGTGAGATGGTTAGCGGTGCAAGCTCACATGGAAGTGAGGTGGATCTTAATTTGCTGGACACATTTTACGCAATGCACAATTTGAGGCTTATTACGCTGTTGCATTAAACTGTAAAAAAAAAAAAAAACCTGTATTTTAAGCATTGTCTGAAATAACAGTTCAAGACTTGGTGTTTGCTATTCAGCTCCAAAATGACAGCTGCTACATAAAGTAGTATTTAACAGGGTGTATTATTTGACTTGATTTTTGAGTTTCATAGTGTACCTTGATATATTAGACACCCCCCTTCCAAAAAAACCCCCCAACAAATTTTCTCTTCTGTAAATTCTTCACAAAACTGATTTTTAAATTTTACAAAATTGTTCTCAGATGTATAAGTTCATGAGGTTAAGAAGTGAGTATTCTGACAGGTTTAAACTAAGCTGACGTAATTAATTTGCACAAAAGCTACACGTGAAATGGGGGGGGTGGGATGAATACCAATAGAAATGTTGAGCTTTGACATGGTCAGGACTTCAAGGCCGTTGCCTGATTAGTAGGGGAAAGAAATGGTCTGTGTTGAGCAACAGTCATGTGTGTGTCATGCGTAGCACCTTTTTTTTTTTTTTTCTTTTTTGTTTCTCCCCCCCTGCATTTAAAAAAACAAAACAAAAACTGGTGTCTGCTCCACGTTCTTACACACTAATCTGTTGGGCACACCTAAAACTTTTTTTTTTTTTTTTTTTTATGTGAGCTTAAATTGCAAATTTTTGAACTTTGGCAGTGATTTAAAAAAAAAAAAAAAAAAAGATTTAAAATTTTGCAATTTATCTAAAGTCAAAATTACGCACTTGCATGTGGAATGTGGCAGCTTTAACACGGCTTTACGTGACTCCCTCCCCCCAGCTACATCACCTCCACTGCAGAGGTTTAACTGTCTTGGCGTGTGCTTGCACCGCAATTTATATTTTAAAAAAAAAAAGGAATAATAAAAAATTCTGCTTTGTAAAGACCATGGAAGCCAAACAAGAGAATTCTCATGTTCAATTGCATAATTGTTCCACACTGTTCTGAACTACAAGAGTGTAAAGGTTAATGCATGACTTTAGATTTCAGCCTGCTTCAGTCAGTATGATCAAATGGCTACGGACACGCTCAGGGTTTTGTATTTTGTGTAAGTAATGGTGGGCTCGCTTTGCCTACGCATGTTCCTTAACTCCAGCTCCAGATACACCCATGTTCTTACTATGTAGCGAGGCAGCTTTCTCTAAAGGTGACATGGAGATTCCTCTCCCCTCAAAAGCGAGGGGGGAGGTGATTTAGAAGAATGGAGGAACTGAATAGAAAGAGGTCTTTTGATGCAAAGGCCTTGTTTGTATCTTATCAGGTAGATAAGACAAACGGGTCATATTTTGTGTGTGTAAAAACCTTCCAGCTAGAGAATGGTGGCGAGAGTAGCAGCGTGTTCACGAGCTGTAGTGAGTGAGTGGGTGGGCCTGGACTGTTTCCCCTTCCCTTCCATGTGCGCTGATTCACAGAATGTGTAGCATGAACTCACACCCCTCCCCCAGCTGCTGCTGTTTCCTGCTGGAATGTACCCCACCCTTTCCTGAATGGCCTGGATTCCCATTGGCCAGACTCTGTAGATGGACAGGCAGAGTAGCCAGCCAGCAGTCAGTAACTCCTAGCTTCAGGGAACTCGTATCGGTGCTGGAGCAGCCAATGATGGAGAGTGGAGATGGCAGAGAGGCGGGAGGCAGTCTGGTTGGTGGGTTGGTAGGGTTGGGGTGCGAGGTGGGACAGACGGGGATGCGGTCCTGTTGGCTAGAAAGTGGGGTTGAGCTCCTGAGGGTGTGGCCATGGGTTCAAGCATGGTGGAGGTCTTAGCTCAGATGGGAGCCGGCTCGCTCCCCCCTCCTCCTCCTCTCTCTCACATTTGATCACATCTGTGAAACGAAGTCCCGTGGTCTCGTGATTTGAGCGGATTGCTAGCTTGGTGGGGTTTTCTGTTATGTGCATATGCTAAGGTTTCTCCCAACGCGCCTCTTCTATGTGTGGATTCAACATGCTGATGATCTTAATCTGGTGCATTTGCCACTGTTCAAATAAATCCCACAAACAAGTCCTTCATTATGCAATTTATGCTTTTGTCTGCCTTTTACAGCGTTTCTAAGATTTTCTATTTAAAATGTTTCTTCTGTTTTATCTAAAAAAAATAAAAAAAAATCAAGTAAAAAATAAAGAATGAAAGGCACCAGCTTCCCACAGGGAGTGTCATAATTTGAGTTGACAAGCTTTTACAAGAAGCAGCGAATTTATCAGTGTAACTCATCTTTGAACTTGGGTCCAGAATTGGTGGAGTATGTCCTGGCAGTGGGCTAGGCCTGTTCTTCTGGATGATCTTCTGTTCACCAGTGGGTTCAGATCAAATCCTTTAGACACAATGTACTCATTTTTTATTTATTCATTTTATTTTATTTTTTTTTCTTCCCTCTCCCCTCAGGTTTTGGATGGTATGCTTGCTCAGTATGGTGCAGTACAGAGCTGTGAACAAGGTAAATATGCTGTTGATTAAGCCTCGTGTTACAAGACACACCCTGCAATGAAATCAGTTTTTCCAAATCCTTCCTTACTGTACAATTGTTTTCAAGTAAATGCTTTATTAGCTTCCTAATGAAATTTTAGAGTAACCCAGGTTGGTCAACTTTCAGTCATTGTTGGATGTGTGCTGACTTTGTGTATTCTCACAGTAAACACTGATACAGAGACTGCAGTTGTCAATGTTCGGTATGCTACCAAGGACCAGGCGAGGCTGTGAGTACGCACACACAGTATTCACGTCATTAACCTCTATCTCATCGGTCTTGATGCCTCTGACATGAATCTGCTCAAGCTTCCCCCCCCCCCACTGTGTTTGACACCACATCAAGTTCCTCTGTAAAGTGTTCTTACAGTGCACCTGATTTCCTCCTTCCAACACCCAGTCTAGTTTAATTTGACATGCAATGATAACTGGGGCTGTGTGTGTGTGTGTGTGTGTGTGTGTTGGAGATGGAGGGGGTTAAATTGGCCATCTGGTGCCCCCTGGTGTACATGTATCATACTACTCTGCAAGTGGTTGGAAGAGTCTCTTGGAATAATTGATCAGTTCATTAAAAATCTAAATCCTTGAGGCTAATGAGGAGTGAGTGCTGACAGGATGACTGTAAGGTGGCGTTTGGCCAGATCCCCAGTACCTGCTGGGAATGTTGAGTTTGGACCTTGTTCTTAAGACACAAATAATTTGCATTAAAGCCTCTTTGTTTAAATGTCCCTACCTGCTTTTTGGTTTCTTCAATTAATGAAGAGTCAAACTTGAAGCTTTGTGTAGTGTTTTTTTTTTTTTTTTTTTTTTTTTTTTTTTTACTCCATGTCTGCAAGCCTTTTGCTCTTAAATTAAACGTTCGGTAGCAATCGAGAGGTTAACATGCCAACATCTTTAATTCTTTTCAGGGCAATGGAGAAGCTGAATGGATCTATGATGGAAAACTATACCTTGAAAGTGTCCTACATCCCTGATGAGACGGCGGCACCAGAGGGTCCTCCAGCAGGGGGCCGGAGAGGCTTTAATGCCCGCGGACCCCCTCGGTCTGGCTCTCCGGGTTTGGGCGCCCGGCCTAAAGTGCAGTCAGACATCCCGCTACGCATGCTGGTTCCCACGCAGTTTGTAGGGGCGATCATTGGCAAGGAGGGCGCAACTATCCGCAACATCACCAAACAGACCCACTCAAAGTACGTACACGGAGGTCAGGAATTATACTCGGCATCGCACGTCAGCGGTGTCCTCCTTTCCTTTTCTGCACTGCTGGCCGTTGAGCAGCGATATGATGAGCGCCTTTTCTTTGTGTCAGGATTGACATCCACAGAAAAGAGAATGCAGGTGCTGCAGAGAAACCCATCACTATTCACTCAACCCCTGAAGGCTGTTCGAACGCTTGCAAAACCATCATGGACATCATGCAGAAGGAAGCCCTTGACACAAAGTTGTGAGTTTATAACAAAATAAGTAAATGTGTACCTTAGTTCAGTTTTGTCACCTATTAACCTTTGGCTGAATCTACTGTGACACTGAACTAAAATGAGGGTATAACTGCAAACTGTGATGCTGTTATTTATAATTTTATAAATAAATCACTTTGACAAATCGTATCAAAGCTGCTTCATAAAAACAGCTTTCCACGCCCCTATAATGGCTCCCATTTTTAACTTCTTACGAGTTCAGACGTCATATCTTGGCTTTGCTTAAAAATATATCAGCCCTGTCTGTTTGCAGCATGTAGGAAAAGTAATAGAACTGATTGTATCAGATTTTGTTTTTCATTTGACTTCGCAACCCCTTTTTCCCACAGTACTGAGGAGATCCCACTAAAGATCCTTGCACACAACAGCTTTGTGGGAAGATTAATAGGTAAAGAAGGACGCAACCTGAAGAAAATTGAGCAGGAAACGGGGACCAAGATCACAATCTCACCGTAAGTTGCAAAGAGTTCATTGAAACTCTACCTATTGACAGTTTGCAGTCTGTGAGGTTGGTTTATAAAATTACACCACGCTTAGAACAATAAGTTCTAATGCACCTCCAACCTTTATTCTGTCCAGTCTTCAGGACCTAACCCTGTACAACCCAGAACGGACCATCACAGTAAAGGGCTCCATTGAGGCATGTGCAAAAGCTGAGGAGGAAGTGATGAAGAAGATCAGGGAATCCTATGAGAGTGACATGGCTGCTATGAACGTAAGCAATTTAAAAAAATTAAAATTTGAATGAATCGCTTTTTCAAAGGGGAAATCTGAAGTAACTTTGTTCCAGTAAATATAAATGTGACTGGTTTCTTTAAAAGTGACGTAGATGGTCTGTTAATGTTCTTGGCTTTCAAGTACACTGGCCAGACATGGCCAGTAAACAGGCCCGGGTGGGGGAGGTGGGGATTTTCTGGCAGGTCTTAGAGTCACCAGGATACTTTCTGTGATTAGGGTTTACATAAAATCAAGAAATCAGATAACAAATTAATCTGCCAAGGAACTGGAACAGTGACGTTTACATGTACGGGAGTGATCTGAAACTACCATGGTGTAATGGCACTCTTTCATCCTCAGTTTTCTTGTAAAGATACGTGTACATTTTTAGTGTTTTATTATTTATGTATTAAGTCTTCAATACAAAAGACACTTCCACATGTCAGGTATTGTGAAATCAGTAGAAAGGAATACTTTTTATTTATTTATTTATTGTTTTGTTTTTTTTTTTGTTTTTTTTTTTTTGGGCTACTCCTGTGGGTGAAGAGGAAATTTTGCTTAGTTTCCTAGCAGAGCTCACTAACCCCCAATGTGTCTGTGGAAATCATAACAGCTCCAGGAAATTCCCTTGAAGGCTAAGGAAAGGTGCATCACTGCTTCCTTTTAGCATGGGATCAGCTGGACCTCCCTTTTTCTGAAAGGAAGAGGAGGAAATCCCATCTCACGATTCAAACGTTACACATTTAAACCATTCATGAAAAACAAACCGTCAACGTAACTGGGAAGAGGTGCAGGTCATGTAAATGTAAACTAATGGGTCATGGCAATCAAATGGGAAAACGCACTTGATATTTTGAGCCTTCGCCAGCAGGTTTTAAATCACAGGTGATTCTTGCACTGCTGTGATTTTCTTTTTGTTTTTTTTTTGTTTTTTAAATCTGCGTGTAAAGTTGCCTTCTATGATCATTAATTATACATTTATTCCAGTTAAGCTCTGTACATGAAGACTGAGCTATATCAAAATAATACCAATAAGTGAAGTCAATCTTTTAGCACACTTAAACTGATTTTCTTTTTTCCCCCTTCATATCTTTCCTTGGCCTTTATTTATATATTTTCCATCAAAATTGGGGAGGGGAAAACGCCATAAAATTGTGGCGAGGGACTGTACCATTAGTCTTCCTTCTTAGCTGTTGAAACTGAGTTTACAAGGAATGTGAAAAAAGCTTGAGAAGCTGCACTGTGCGGTTGTTTACCAAGTGGACAATGCCTCATTTGAGATTTTCTGACTGTCCTAGAAAATATGCTTCAGGCTCACAATTTGATTCATTTTGCTTGTCCAGGGTTTGCAAAAGTCCCAGCTGAAGTCGAGCTGTTTTTTGCTTCGGGAGTTGATGTTTAATTCAGAAAATTGTCAGGTTGTTTTTTTTTAAGTTTTCTTTACCGAAAGTGGTGCATGTGCAGACACGAATATGATTTGATGGCAGCTGTCGTTGGAAGTCTTTACTTGTCCACTTCAGTAGTAGAAATTCTGTGATGTAGCGTGGTTAATTGTCCAGTGCATCTTTCAGCTAGTGAGTGGGCGTGAAGTGTGCTGCCTCCAGGCTGCAAGGAGCATTTCCAGTAGTGCAGGCATATCTAAAGGAGACAGTTTCCTGCTGTGAGAAATTAAACTTAAAGCTTGAGGGGTTTTTTTTTCTTTCCTGGGGGGGGTGTATTTTCCCTTTGTCCAGAGATCATGTGTGATAGCAGTGTTGGTTAGATAATCCATGTGGTGGTGATGTGAATTGCTAACAGAGCTGTCCTTTCTTTGCAGCTCCAATCCAACTTGATTCCAGGCTTGAATCTGAATGCTTTAGGTTTGTTCCCCACTACAGCAACAGGCATGGGTCCCTCCATGTCCAATATCACACCTCCCGGAGCCCATAGTGGATGCTCATCATTTGGAGTAAGTGAGAGACACTCTTGCAGATATGCGCTTACTGCATACACTACATTACACAAATCCAGGGCAGCCCATGTTTAATTGTTACGCTTGGTGTGCTGGTTCCTTGGGTCAGGTTGGTGAAATCTGTTAGAGTAGAGACTTTGTCTTTAGCCACTCGGTATCATGTTTGTTTTTTCCCCTTTAGTGCAGTCCTTATGGGGGTGAAGGGCCATTTTGGGCTCCTATGCTGTCAGCGAGTAGCCAGTCCCTTGCTGTAAGTTGCCCATCCCCAAAGTGCTTTGCACGGCTTGTGGCTGCTTGCTGTGGGGTTTTGTTTTGAGTTCATTTATTTTTATTTATTTTTTTAGGGGGGTTGCATCCAGTTTGTCCTCTTGTGACATTTAGGCAGCTCCTAGTGTGTTTGTGAAGTGAATAGGGAGGCTGTCTTTCTCTGATCAGTTTCAGGAGATTGTTTCTGCTAAATGACATTTGAGTTGTCAGGGAAGGTGAAGGTTTGAACGGCAAGTTCATCCTCTGCATCAACAGCCCTTCTCCACATTTTGTAGCCTGCCAAAGCAACTTGTTAGTGTGCCCTCAGCTGGCACATGGACTGGAAAATTGCACTCGCTCCAAAACCAACAAGTACTACTACTTCTGTTTTTTGTTCCTTTTTTTGTTTGGGGGGGGGGAGACAGTGCAACCACCTCCCTTTCAGATCTTGAGTCAGCCGCACTAGAGACTGGTGATTTCCTGGTCCAGTTTGCATTAAGGCTCCATAGTGTAATAGCTTATTTAAACATTACTGTCCACTTGAGATTATTTTTTTTTCCTTAGCAAAAATTAACAAGTTCCATCTAACGGTAAACCTTTGCATGCAGCCAACTCGGACTATAGCTTCTGTAAACAGAATCGGTGTGCAACTGTTTGCCAAATGTTTTAACACCAATCTGAGCATGCAGCACGTTCCCAAAAACACCCAACGATTTTGGGAACATGCTGATCAGTAATGAGCAGGAACCCCACTGGACAATAACGGTAGCATCTGCGTTTACTGCTGCGGGGGCAAACATGCCTCTTCTGATCAACCAGTGATTTCAAGCAGAGGGTGTAAGCGCCGATGACACTTAATGAGTTTAACAGCTTCCACAAGATCGACTGTTGGCATTTGCGCGTTGGTGTTTGAAAGTTGAGCAAATGTTCTGGGGGGGGAGGTCTGTGCGTGCGATCTTCTCCTAGTCGCAGTAGTACTAAGCTGTTTATATCCAGCAGGGACACCCAGAATCGGAGACTGTTCACCTGTTCATTCCTGCACTTGCAGTGGGCGCCATCATTGGAAAACAGGGTCAACACATCAAACAACTGTCACACTTTGCCGGAGCCTCAATCAAGGTGAGTGATTGACAGGAGGGTAGAGACTCTGAATGTCAATGATAACATTTTGATGCTTGCAGTCTTCCCGTTTTTCATTTGATGGGAACTGGAGCATAAGTGAAGTTTCTTTTTCTTAATGACCTCTTTCAGATCGCCCCTGCAGAAGGAATGGATGCGAAGCAGAGGATGGTCATCATTGTCGGACCACCAGAGGCTCAGTTTAAGGTGTTGCACGTGCACAGCCAAATAAATGCATTAAACTCTCATGCTAAGATTAAAAATTAAGATGTCACTTTATTTAATCATAGCGGAAGTTTGCATTTATCTTGATTTTATTTATTCGCGTGTTAGTGGAGCAGAAGTATTTCTGAAAGAAGTTTTTACCTAATTCGGTAGGATTAACCTGTGCTTGAACACATCTGACTGCAGGCTCAGTGTCGAATCTTTGGCAAGTTAAAAGAAGAGAATTTCTTTGGACCTAAGGAAGAGGTGAAGCTGGAGGCGCATATCAAGGTTCCCGCCTTTGCTGCTGGACGAGTTATTGGGAAGGGCGGGAAAACGGTAATCTAGATTCTTTCATGCCCGAATTATATTCAGTTTATATTTTTGCCCTAATGTTTTGAGTTAATTTTGATCTGTGTGTGCAGGTAAACGAACTGCAGAACTTGACCTGTGCAGAAGTGGTGGTGCCCCGGGACCAGACGCCTGACGAGAACGACCAGGTTATAGTCAAGATCAGCGGACACTTCTTTGCATGCCAGGTGAGTTGCATAAAAGAAAAGTGCTCTGGGCATGTTTTTCTGACACTGAATAAACTGCTATATATTCTTTGCCTTTCACTGTAGCCATACAGTTAATTTCCATTTATAACAAGAACAACGTTATGCACGCTGAGATGCTTCCAAAATTGATTAAAAAAACACAACTAAATTTGGCTATTTGTCTAACATTTTGCACAGGAGGTCAGCATTCTCAGGGCAGATTGCGTGGCATCCTTGTACACTTCATTTTATGCTTTGCTCGGCAGTTTTAGCTTAACACTTGTTCCTCTTGTCACCTAGCTGGCCCAGAGGAAGATTCAGGAGATCCTAGCCCAGGTGAGGAGGCAGCAGCAGCAACAACAGCAGCAGCAGCTTAAGCCTACATCTGGACCCCAACCTCCAATGCCACGCAGGAAATAAACATCCAGCGGACCTGGAGGAACGGTGACCGAATCTTGCAAGAAGACTCGACAGAAGGACAGATGCAGCAGAGTCCAGGAAGGGGAGAAGACGATGACGGCAGTGGGTCCTAATGCTCATCTCAGGGGTTAAAGGTTGTTGGAGCCCAACCAAACATCCTCCCCTCGTCTTACTTGGGACTGCGTAGCTGATTTAAGAAAAAAAGAAAGAGACCCTGCGCCTCTAAAAGTTCCACCCACTCCGCCTCTCTGCATCTCTGCGAGAATGTACTCCTGAGGGCTCCTACCGTCGTCACCTGCCCTCACAAGTGCACACCCCTCAACCGCTCTACTCATCCCCCAAAGGATGTGTTTAAACTTGTATTTTTTTGTTTTCTTTTTACACTAGAAACACAAAGAAATAAGGACCCCCGCCCCCTCCTATCACCGCTTTGGTGTTGTACTTTAAACATGACAAGATGTTTTGGTTGACTTCAGATTTAGTGAACACCTGGTCTATATATATATTTTTTTTTTCTTGATGTTTAATTGGTTGGTGAAGCTTTCTTATGAGTTTTCTCTGGAATGGAAAAAGGCATTGCTATCAAGGTCCTGTTTGGACCACCTGAAAGATTTATTTGGGGAGGGGGCGTGGGGAGGGGGGGTGGCCCAAAATGGGGGGGCCAAGGTTAAAGGGGGGGTTGTTTTAGGACAGGACCCCTGAAAGGGTGAATTATATGGGGCGTCCTGCCCTTGTGATAAGTGGCATTTTATAAATTGGGATGCATTTTACAGATAGACCTATAAACAAAAAAGAATTATATTAAAAAAATATATATATATATTTAGAGTTGAGGGCAGCGCCACGACTGACACAGGGAAATGGTGCCGAACTGCTGCTGCCCAGGAAAACCAATTAAATATGCATTTTTACTTAACTACCTCAGGATCTAGTACCTCAGAAGAGAAAAGATATTATATATATGAAAAAAAATTGTTCCTTTCTTTTTTTTATTTTGCTTTGTGGTGTTTTGTATACTTTATAAAGCTGATAGTCTTTGAACATTTTTATTTTTTTAAGAAAATTTAAAATTTTGGTCAGCTGCCAACTGACCTTGCCTTCAACTCTGGTGCTTTAGGTGGCATTGTACATGTGTATGTGTGACTTAAGATGACCCTGTACATAAAGTCTGTTTGTACATAGCAGCCCCGGAGCAAGAGTTGGCGCCCCCTCAGCTGGCGGCTGACAGAAGTATAGAGAAAATCGCCTCAGCTTTTCCCCTGAGGGTCCACCATCTTCAGAAAGAAGTGCAAAACAACTACGACATGCAAATAATGCCAACCGTACATGACTGCAGCAATGCAATTTTTCTTTTTAAATTTTTTTTTTTTTGGGGGGGGATTATCATAGTTAATGATAATGGTACTTTAATTTGTCAAAATTTCCTTTCACCTTCCTATTTGAGGGCTGTGGTCTGGGTGCTGCAGACAATACTGTAATGGGGTCCTTCCTGTAGCTGCCCTCAAGTCAGCAGAGCATGTGTTTGTGGTCTGTTCTGTTCCCAGGCCTCCTGCCACCTTTGTTGGCGAGTGTCTTAGCGAGGTCCAAGCCCCCACTAGGTTTAATTTCATATAGAGCGAGCTTTGTCATTTCAGACTGGCCCTTGTAGCAAGGCCATCAAGTCGATGTCGTTAACTGCCTGGTGAGGGTAGGGGGAGTCACACTGATAGATGCAAACGTAACTTTTTTTTTTTAAGTTTCAAGGAAAATGATTTGAACAAAAGGATGTTCTCTGTAACCCGCAAATGTACTTGATGTTTCATTTAGTTATGCTTACAGGGAATAACGAGCCAGGATAGGTGCACACACCATACTGGGTGAACCCTGACTGGCGTTTATTTTAGGAAAAAAAGGAAAGGAATCCAAAAAACGTAAAGATACAGTTATTATTATTATTATTTTTTTCCATGCCGAATGTAAATATGTTGATTGTGGTAAAAGTGCTTGAGTGTATCCATGCTTCCACAGTAGAACGCCGTCTACCTCAGCTGAGGGGGCGGGGGGTTGTTGTGGCACTAGGCACCCAGCCCTGCCCCCACTGAGCGCCAGCGCGCACTGATACCTCAGTCCCCCAAACACTTTCTATTTGGGCGCGCCTTCCTAACACCGTGCTTAACTGAGGGGCACAAGTGATACTTAAAAAAAAAAAAAAAAAAGTCCCTAACATCTCCCATCTCCCTGCCAACCCACCCCTCCCACAACTTCCCCCTTCCTCCAGTTTATTTTTGATCTACCTCTTTAGAAATGTATTTGAAGTAGAGGCATTCTTCTATTTGTTAGAATTTAACCCTTCTCCACACCTTTACGCTCCCCTCCCCCAGATAAGATTAAAAACTAAGATCATGAACTCTTTAGAATTGAGAAGAATCAAGTGATCAATTTTTTTTTTCCCAGTGTTTATAAATATATACATGTCTTGACTTTAATTGAAATCCTCGAAACAATAGTTATTTCCTTCTGCTCTCTATTTTTGGTGGTGTGGCTTCCATGTGAACTTTTGCTTGAATTTTTCTTTTTGCATTCAGTAGCTAAAACAAGACAATACAGTTTTGTTTTTTTTTGGGTTTTTTTTTGATAAAGGGCCTGCCTATTGTTTCTGATTTGTAAGACTTCAAAATAGATAAGAGTCCTGTATTTTTTTTTTTTCTTTTCTTTTCTTTTCTTCCCCTTTTGTCTTTCTCAGATGTTACACTCGCTGATTCGGTAGCTGTTTTGTTCTGTTAGCATTTCTTGGCTGTGTAACGTGGAACATCCTCCTTGGTATGGGACAGATGAGGGACCGGGCCTGAGTTTTTGTAAAAGTGATCAAACTTCAGCTTGATATTCTCTCCTCTGCAACAATGCTTGTGCCCCTTCACCTCCCCCTCACACACAGCTCCACTTGTCAAATGCCTCTAAATAAAGAAAAACAAAATGGAGAAAAACATTTGACACAAATGCATTTTCTTCTAAGATGACTGGATGCTTTAACTTTTACAGTTAAGTATGATATTACAAAGTGTTTGGGAACCCCAACTAGAAAAAGTCCTGCGGTGCATAGTGTGTGTAAAAGTCAGCCTCTGCTGACTCTGTAGCTGGAGTTTTTCAGACCTGCTCATGGTCTGGGTTTCCATGACGGAGCAGCTCCTGAGGGTGTTAGGTCCTTGGTTAAACTGGATATGTGACAAATGGCCTTTATAATTGGGTTGACTGACCCTGTCAAACATGGTCTTTATTTATCACAATAGGTTAAAGAGAAAAATGGACTCACCTGCTCTATTTTCTATGAATAACACTAAAAGAAGCTGTGGGAAGTTGCTTGTAAGAAAAGGAAAACCAAACATTATCATGAGGTTTCAGCAAAGACCCACCAATCTTGTTTTTGATCAACTTGATTAGGTGATCATCAAAATGTAAGCACCTCTATAAAAGCAGCGGTCTTGGCAGGGTGCTATTCAGGTGTGTGTGTGTGATAACACAATGCCACAATTTTCTCAGGAGTGAGGTCCCAGCAAATTCACCCCAAGGACAGAGCATGTAATGCCCAGAGGCCTCCAGAATTAGAGCCATGTCTTATACTCTCGAGGCCTGGAGACACGCTGATCAACTATGATTTGTATGGAAGGGTTCCCAGGAGTCTCTAAGAGCATTACCCCATGGCTTAGGTTTGTGAAGTTGCATCTGAAACAATGTTTACACATAATACGCAGTGCTACATTTAGCAGAAACCAAACGGTGTATCCACACAGGCTCAGCCCAACTGTCTAGGTCTGTGGCGGAGGGGTAACAATTTGGGCTAATTGTGCAGCCACAGGACCTGGGCACTTTGCAGTGAAGTATTGACCATGAATTTCTCTGTATACCAAAGTATCCCAAAGTGAAATGTGAGTCAAGTCATGCAACAGGACAATGATGCCATGGATGGCACAAAATCTAGAACTGACTGGTTAAAGAGAACATGTTGCAATGGCCCGGTCAGCACCTGAATCACAGGGTGTACTTTACACAGGGATGCAGAGAGTCCTGTGAAAACATTTTCCACATGATTGAAGTCGTGTATGAACTCGATAAGAGTTCCACATGTAATGAGTTGACAATGCCCCAAATTCCAAAGCAACATACGTTAGGTAGTGCTGCATTAGAGAAATATTTAAAGTCACTTGGTAAACTTTGCTAAAGGAGTGAAAAATGTGTAATAGTACGGTATTAAAAACTTTAAGTTTAACAATTTGCCTCTGTGCAGTTTAGTGTACTGTACAGTAAAAGCATTAAGTATGTTGTGTGAACTACCTGCTTTAAAATCGGCGATGTGTGATTTGATTGCATTTGATTTGCAGTGTTTGTTTTGATCACAATGATATACAGGATTGTGTTGGGTTACAGGAAAGTGGTGACTTCATTGCTTGTTTTAAAAGCCCCAAACGATAGTGCTAATGGTTAAAATCCAGTTTTTCACTAAACCATGAATTTTCTGCAGTTAATGTGATTGTGTGAAACAGTTTTAAAACAGATTTAACACGAACACACGAACAAATTAATAGAACACTAAAAATCAGTTCATCTAACGTTAAATACATTTTTTTTCAGCTCCATACAAACAGATTCCAGTGTCTTCAAAACATAAGTGGTTAGTTCACAGCCTTTATTTAGTGACAGACTTATTTATCGGCCTTTCATCCTCCTTGATTATGGCGATGTTTAAATCTCGGAGTTAAAGAAATTAAATTTTTAACTCATTTGAGGAAAAGCATGCATGTATCACTACTAGTAGGATTTTTACCCGTACATTAATATACAGTATTCTAAAGCAATCCATGACAAAACGGTACAAAAGCACTTTTCATCAAAAACAGCCATTGCTTGAGCCTAATTCATTTTATAGCAGCTACTACACCCTATGTTGCAATCAAAATGAGTGCCTCAATCACATATTCGACAGCCTCTTCAGTAGAAAATCATCACACCAATCAGCAGCTGCTGTAGCAGTAGCAGTTTTCTGGAGCACCATCAAACAATTAAAACAAGCAAAATATTAGTTTCTTTTACAAATATGGTATTCCTGCTATTTTTGCACTTTAATGCTTAAACTTTTGATTAGATTCATATCTGACAATCACATGCTTTAGGTGTTTTTTTATTTTAAGTGATGATGCAGCTCAAAGCCTACAGGGGGTTTCTCTCAGTCAGCAGGTGACGGCTCTCCTCACTGGAGGGGAAGAGTGCCTCCTTCAGGCGAATCATGTGACCTCCAACCCCAGCATGAGGATCCTCCACCAGTGACCTGCGAATGGGCCGGTACACCTTGTAACGCCTGGAAGAAAGATGCAGGACACAAAAATATGATGGGAGGGTAATGACTCTCTAACTGGATGTGAGCGGCAAGAGTTGGAAAAAGAATACGAGGTGTTTTACGAGCAGGGTACTAATCAACTGGAAATTCAGTGAGAATCAAAGTGGCTTTGTGTGCATGTGTAAATGCTTTTTAATGTGGCAGTAAAAGCCAAAGTTGTGCATTAAAATCTTTCTGCATCATATATTCGGGTCTTCACACATTTACTGAAGGAATGCTGCTGCATCTGAAGACTACTCACTTGTAGACCACATAGGCAATGAATGCAAAAATGGCC